CCTCAGAAAAGAGCAAGGAAACATCACATGGCTCAAAATCAGGAAAGGAGTCTGTCAGGGATGCATCCTGTCTCCTACCTTTTCAATCTATATGTAGAACAGATTATTTGAGAAGCAGGGATTTATGAGGAGGAATGTGGCATCAAGAATGTTGAAGACTCATCAACAACCTACATTATGTAGATGACACAACCTTGCTTGCTGAAACTAAAGAAGACTTGAAGCACTTGCAAAAGATGAAGGACCGTAGTCTTCAAGATGGATTGAAACTCAATATCATGAAGACAAAGATTCTCACCACTGGGCCAACTGGCAGCACCATGATAGATGGAGAAGAGATTGAGGTTGTTAACAATTTCAGCTTGCTTGGCTCCACAATGGACACTCTTTGCACCAGCAGTCAGGAAATCAAAAGACACATGCACTGGGAAAATCTGCCTTCAGGGACCTCTCCAGAGTTCTGAGAAGCAACGATGTCAGCCAAGAGACAAGGTGTGCCTGATCCAAGTCATGTTCTTTGCAGTTACTTGGTATGCATCAGAGAGCTTGACAATGACTAAGGAAGATTTGATGCCTTTGAGCTATGGTGCTGGAGAAGAGTCTTGAACATACCATGGACTGCCAAGAAAACAACTAGGTCTGTTTTGGAGAGGGTCAAACCAAGTTACTCTTTGGAGGCTAGGATTTTAAAGCTCACATACTTTGGGCATGAGGCCAGGTGGGACCGGTCCTTGGAGAAGGACATCATGCTTGGAAGGGTGGAGGGACAGTGCAGAAGAAGACCCCCAATGTAATGAGGCAATGGAGGTAGGTGTGCAGGAGTCAGTGAGATTTGCTCAGGACAGGGGAAGCTTCAGAGTTATTATACATAGGGTCACTATGAGTAGCAGGCCACTCGACAGCACATAAGAACACAACAACACTGGGAAGGAACATCAGCTTCAGCCACTGTGCTAATCCAAATTGCAGGTTGTAAAAGCAGTCTAGCAAGTGTTTCCCCTTTAGTCCCTTCCCATTCATGTTGGGCAAGGTTACATAGGTACATCAATAGGCTATCTCAAGCCTAGGCAGAATGTATATCACTGTTAACCAAACTTTTGTAAGATGGAGTGAAGGTACAATCCACTCCATCAGACCTTTAGGAATTTTTGCATATAAGTTTAAGGATATTGTTACAGGTCTTTGCTCAGGAATCTCTCTTGTTTCTGGTCCTCAAAGCTGCATCCCTGGACCTGGGACTATCTGGCAAGAAACAGTCTTAGATAATATAAAGAAGAATTGTATAGTAGTACCAGCATCTTTCCCTACACCTTCTTCACATATCCTTGGGGAACATAGTAATCTGTAGAGGGGTCAACCCTCTTTAGCTTCTCTCTAATTAAGTGTGAGTACACACTCTTGAAGGCAGGTAAGCCAGCCTTTCATACCCTTATTCCCCAGTTTTAGATAACAAATGTTTGGACTACCCATTCTAATTCTCTATCAGATCTTAACTTTGAGGGTGGCAGGCAACAGGGCATGTCCATTTAATATGCTGTTTCTTGGTCCACTGCTGCACTATGTGGGTATAACGCGTGTTCCTTGGTCTGAGAAAATATAACTTGGTGGCCCAACTTGTAGAGTATCTTCTGTTCCAGTCCCTTAATAGTATTTTTGGCATTATCACTGGTTATAGTATATGCTCAGTGTGGAGTAAGTATCTAGTCCTGCAAGAACCCATTCGTAGCCACAATGTGCTACTTGCCCCATATATTTAACCTGGCAATTATCTGCAGGGCCTTCCTCCCTGGGAATCTGTCCCATAGCTATGTGCAACTTGCTGCTTTCTTGCTGTCAAGAAAAGTAATCTTTATTGGTAGGGAGGGAGAAAGAGGAATATGTCTAGCTTCAGCCCATCTCTGCATTGCTGCAGCATTCCCATGTCCACTCATTTCATGGACCCAGTAGGCCACTGCAAGGGAATGTACCCGCTGCTGAGTGTCCACCTGCTGAGTTGTTCAACCACCTTGTAATCCCGGCAGGGGATTTTCTGATGGACACTAACAAGTCTAGCTCTAATGTACCCCTCCCTAAATTACCAGAGTGCTTTAGATCCACGCCCCACCCATGTCCCTTTAATAGTCCAGTCTTCCATGCCCCATTTGCATTACCTTTATGGCTAAGCCATTAGCCGCTGCCCATGAATCACTGAAAATTCAAACATACGAACTCTCACCATTGCTCAATTCCTCAGTTAGGAAGACCACTATGCAGATCTTTTCTTGCCTTCCTCAATCAGGGTTTTCCCATCTGCTGTTATTAATGTGGTGATTTTCGACACCAAATGTTGACCCCAGACGCTGGAACTGCCATCTGTGAACCAAGCAGCTCTTTGATGATCAGCAGGAAGTTGTGCACATGGCACTATCTAAGTGACAATGGGCTCTGGCAGCCTCTCTGGATGTTCCAGGGTAGGACCAATGGGAAAAGAGGCTTCTTGCTCCTAGAAATGGGTTCTTCCCTGAATTCCCCCAGTAGCTTGCTCTTGGATGAACCATTTCTATGTTATTACAGAGCTGGTTTGGGCACCACCACCTTTATTAGAATGCTTCTCCAAAAGCAGCCATGGCGTGATGGGTATTTCAGGTCTCATTTATGTTCTTCTGTCATTGAAGCAATCTCAACCAATGCCCAATAGCAAGCAAGTCACTCCTTCAAATGGCATGTATCATATAGCAGTGTCAGGAAATTTCCTTGTCTAGTGGCTGCTGAAGGCAGCCTTCTCAGGTTTTTGCCATAAGCTCCAATCTTCATAAGCACAGGTGGCAGATACCTCGAGAATTATGTCTGAATGTGAATCATAAAGGCCTAGTGAAAAGGAGCAAGAGACTGCTTTGTGTATTTCAGTCTTAGCCTTGTGCTGCTCAGGCACCTATTCAAACACATTTCAATTTTCTTTTGAGTAACTTTATGGATGAGAGCTGACAACATTACAAGATGCCCTCCAAAATCCAAACAGATCAATCAACTGTTGGGCCTCTTGTTTAGTCTTGGGAGCTGGAAGTGATAGATTATCCTTGATTGCCTAGGTGGCTCTTGTCCAAGTATTTACTCTTTGAGCTGGGCCCTGGATTTTTGTTGGACTTACCAACCAACCTCTGTTGGTCATGTAGGCAAGCATTATTTTCAAATCATCCCTAGGCTATCCCTAGCCTAGTCAATACATAATGACACAGCTTCTTCAACTGTTGCTTTGTTCTCCAGTAACAAAGCCAAACAAGGTGCCCCAGTTGGAGGTGCCCCCATGATAACCATCTCTGCTATGGCCTCTGTAAGAGGCATATTCATTGGATGCCATAATAGAACATTATCACTAGAACTCTATCAAGCTAATTGTCCCCTCTGGGGTGTTAACTCTGTCCTTGTAGGACTTTGTTCAGTTCTCGTATCACCCATCTTAATTCCTACATTCTTTTCCCTTACATTTGTTGTGACTAGGGATAGGAGAAACCAAGGAATTTTAAGTTTTGCTCTCTCCTTATCACTCTGTATTTCTGTATGCATCCAATTTACACGCTGCCATACACTTTCATGCTTAGAAACACTTTTTTTTTTTCGATGTATTACCGTCATTTGCAGCAACGTGTTAACGAGCTTCTTCAGAGTTACACTAATTCATATTAATGAGGAACTTGTGCCTTGGTAAACTGATTGCAACACAATAGCTGCATTAATCCATGAGTGTTCCTTATTCCATCCAGAAACCAAAGGTGTCTCATTCTCTTGTTGACCCCTTTTTTCTCCAGACACATGTTACAGAGAGTCTGGACTTTTGTAGAGAACCTAACTACTCTGACACCAACTGTATTAATAATTCATTTGGCTGAGTCACCATTGTCCCAAATGCTCAATTTGCTATCTAACTCCCTGTTTACTATATCAACAGCCTCTCCTTTGTTCAGTTTCCTTGCTCCTCTATATCCCTTGAGTTCAGTGGTTCACTAGAAGATCTCCCAGAGACTCAGATCTATCAGGGGAATGACTCACACGACTGTAGGTATGCAGATGTGTTTTGCAAAGACTGGTGATCATTGTAGGCTATCAGTTCCAGAACAGCTGGAAAGACAGGTGTTCCATGAGCTTACAAAAGCCACTAGTAGGGTGGGACTTGAAGCCCTACCTTAATCCTTTCTTCTTAATACAATAAATACTTCAGCACAAAATAAACAGTTAATGACTGTCTAGAAAAGACATTCTGAATGATGAACCTTTGCTGTAACATATAGTAAAGTAAGAAATGGATTCTTTATGCATTCAGCTGTGGTGCTGGAGAAGAGTGCTGAATATATCATGGACTGCCAGGAGAACAAATAGTTTCATCCAAGAGAGGGTGAAACCAGGCTGCTCCTTGGAGGCAAAGACTCTGAGGCTTTGTCTGACATACTCTGGCATATTGCAAGGAAGGACCAGTCCTTGTAGAAGGATATCATGCTTGGAAGGGTGGAGGAACAGAGAAAGAGAGGGAGACAATCAATGAGATGGACTGATTGAGTGACTAGGGTAATGAGGATAGATGTGTCAAAGATAGTAAGTAAGATTGGCACAGGATAGAACAGGTTTCAGGGCTGTTGTACGTAGTGTTGCTATAAGTCTCAAGTGACTCAACTGCACATAACAACAACATGCATTAAAACAACATTCCTAATTTTTTAAAAAAAATCAACAACCAGGCATGGCATAAAATTAGTTTCTGAATCTTTAATAAATGAAGGAGCAAATGAGTGGACAATAGTCTAAGCAAATGTACTTCACCATTCAAGGCAGTATTACCTAATAATAACTGTGAGGCCTACGCATTAGATAGCAGAGCCTGAAATTAACTTTTGAAATACAACTACCTACAAGTACACATAAAGGCAACTTCAGCTCAACCAAAGTGGCCTTGTAACTGGTACAAATGAGTCACTAAAACAAAATTTTCCCAAACAACAAACTTCAAAACAACAGCACCACATACATACCTGTATCTTTCTTTGGAACAAATGAATTGTGGTTCTCCAGAGGATGACCCAGATATTCCCAAGAAGCATTCTTTTTTTTCTTCAGGACAATCTCTATTTTTCCCACATTCTCAACAATTTTCACTGAAAAGAAAATAAATTCCACTTGTATTCACTGATATTAAATATAAGATTTCATTTTAAAACTAATCTTTCTCAAACAATCCAAAAGTCCAACCTGATATGATATTGATCTTTAGTAGGGTAAATATTTGTCCACATATCCATGACACTGTTACACAGCCTTAGATAATGGTAAATTATCTAAGTGCATTTTTAAATCAGATTAATTTCTGTCAAACTAATTTATCAAAGATCAAGGAAATATGGATTCTTTGTGTGTTTTTTCCTTCATTGGGGAAAAGAACTTCCGATGTCTTTGATATTATACCACATTATTTTAGAAAATGAAAAATATTATCTAGAAATACCTTTTTATATATTTATCATACTTATAAAATTTAAAATATTTACATTTTAAACACGGAAATGAAAATATTATCTAGAAATAGCTTCATTAAAGTTCAAACAAAGCCCTGACAAGTAATTAATATACAACTAGAAAAAATTAAGGCTGATATATACAAATGAGTTGCTATTTTAGATCACACTACAAAAGCAAATTTAATTTACTCTCTTTTAACATCTCTTGTATGGGATGTGAAGAGTTTCTTATAAGTAATTCCACAAACACAGTCTTGGGAGAATGAATTCCTAGTAAACCCTTCGATAATGAAAAGTCTAGTAATGTTTTTATTTTTGAATGGCTAAAATTGTTTATGATAGAAAAGAATAGTAAGAAAACATAAACTTTTAAATACAGATTTAAACTTAAAGCATTGACTGCTTTTAAATACCTATTTTGCCATTACAATGTATCTGATCTTTCTCTCTATACACAATACAATACAGCAACAATTAAGTAACTTTAAAAACAGAACAAATAAGTGCAATTCAACAAACACTGATATGAAGCTTAACAAAGATAAAAACATGCTCTTGACTGTAAAGAATTTAAAATTTACAATTTACAGAGCTTACCATGGTATATAAAAAAGGAAAGACACAGCAAGTTTAAGGAACTTGACAATAATGTTATTGTTAAATAACTGTATAAAACCTACACTTTATATGAGTTATAAGATCTGTCAACTTTAAACATGCACACCTGAGAAAATTTGCCTGCTAAATCTTAAGAAAGCCTGGTGGCACAGTGGTTAAGCAATTGACTATTAATCAAATGGTGGTCTGAATAGTCGTTCTGTAAGAAAATGATGTGACAGTCTGTTTCCATAAAGGTTTGCAGCCGTGGAAACCTTATGGAGCACCTCTACTCTGTCTCACAGTGTAATCAGGAGTTGAAATCAATTTGATAGCAAAGGGTAAATGGGTAATGTATTTATACAAGCTACATGTAAGGAATAGGGGAGAGATAAGGAAAGAAAGAATGGAAAGGAAACACTGCAGGGCTCCTTCTTGCTACTTTCTTTCTATTTGCCCTTTTTTCCTTGCCTTTTGATGCAGCCTGAGTTTTGTTTTTGTTTGTCAGCATAAGAATACACATAATTCAAATTTCAGTGTCAGGATTTTTTTGTTTGTTTTTAGCTTACCAGAAAAATCTTCCTGAATTTCATGACTTAGCCCTGGGAAAGAAAAATATATTTAATAAAATGTGACTTCATTTCTCACAGCTTATGAACACAGTATAAAATCATTTAAATGGCTCTAACATATATAATTTTCAATTTCTCAAGACAAATGTATTCTAAGACACCAAAAGAAGCAGTATACAACCAGAAAGCCAAATTATTTAAATAAACATTTTAATTTGTTTTCCTGATTATTCCTCCTACTAACTGAAGAATAAACACTCAACTTTCCCAATGTTGGCAACTAAGCATGATCTTAAACTGACATTTTTAGCCATCGAGAACAAAGCAAAGCATAGCAATGCAACACCTGAGATGCATGATCTAGTGTGTATGCATGTGCATATTGTGAACAAAGCTCTGGCATCAGTCTTTATTTTTCTGTTACCCATTCAAGTAGTTAAAATAATACATTTTGAGTATCTACGTCTGACAATTTCTAGGTGTTATAGACACAATCACCAACAACAGAGAAAAAAGTACCCTGCCATTAAGAATACTCTATAAAGGGAGTTGGAAGAAATATTTTTATAAATACCTATTGTAACTGTCGCCAAGTTAATATGGTTCTCTAAAAATTAACAATTTTGTGTTATTTCAGTTTTTCTGATCCAGTATTGGTAAATAAGAGTCTCATATCTCCATTTACTCCTGAGAATAATGTTTATTGTTTATCCTATGTGCTAGTTGTACTGTTACTTACAATATGAGAAGTTGTATTTGAATTATTATATATGCTGTCATAGAGGTTTTAGTTACGTGAAATCATGACAGTGTTAATTACTAACATACATTTTTCAAGAGTGCTTATTTTCAATTCTTATTAGACACTACTAATTACATAATATGCAAATAACAAAAATAAGTCATATCATTCAGTAGGGTAGTATACATTTCAGGAAGAAAAAAATAAGGTTGGAGGATGAGTCATTTAATGAATAGGAGATACAGGATAAAGAAAACATTTATCAACTCAGACCAAATACAAGACTAAAAGTACATTGTACACAGCAAAACAGTGAGCAGAATCAAGTAGGAGAATATCACGTTTGGAAAATTTAATTCTATGTTATAAGAAAGTAAATAAAATATTATTTAAGTAAGCAGATATGCTTAAGGCATCATTATTAAGGTTATTTGCTTTTTCTAGTTTCATTTCTACCTTCTGAAAAGGCTAAAATCACCTTTTTTTTTAACATTATCTTTCTAAAATAAATTATTTTACAGAGAGAAAACGGTGACATTCTAGTCAAGCTCATTATGTATAAGAAATGAATTAAAGATTATGGTTTAAGAATCTGATATTAAAGATTCCAAGTTTTTACTGACTTGTTTCTTTTGACAGATCTCTAACCTCTCAAAACAGAGAGAAGTTAACTATATGGTTGGCCTTTTGCCCTGAAAAGATGGGTGGTCAATGGACACAGTCACCTCACAGTCCGGCCTTCTTCTGTGCAGTCTCTGACAAGTAATGTGTCAACAGAAGGGCCATTTTGTCATAAGTGCTCACTACATGTGACACAATCCTCTGGAGACAATCCACATCTATCAAGGAAAAGAGACTCATTGAAACTGAGTCAACAAGTGCTGTACAGAGGTAACTCGTGGTTGCTGTAAAGCACTATGACACTGATGTGTCAAGTGTGATAATGGTTACCCATGGTGGACAGTGTTTGGTGGAGCTTCTTGATTAAAACAAGCTTGGAAGCAGGAGTGGCATCCACTTCCGAAATAGCTTGCTTCCAGAAACTCTCTGAACTTGGAGAAACGATGGAAGTTATACAATGGCTCAGGTCTTTCGTTCATAGGATCTGGTCACAGTTGTCTACGACTCGACGGCACTTAGCAACAACACAACCATTAGTTAGCTCTTTTAACAGAAGACATTAAAAGATGAAAAATGAAAAACCGAAGTGAGAACAGCCAATGAGATATTACAGTTGCAAGACTGTGGATCAAGTCATGATCATAATTAAGGTAATTAAGGAAAAATGAAGTTGTATACATTAAAAAAATAAGGTACTCACCAAGATGTATGAGATATGAATAATCCTGGATAACTGTTTCTGCCCTAAAGGCATCATCTTGATGGTCAACTATTACCGAATCTAAACTGATATCCTTGAACAGAATGCAAACAAAGAAATATTAAAAAGTAAATTAATTGTTCTGGACGTCTACAACTGTTGTTGTTGCTAGGTGCTGCTGAACCAATTCTGCCTCTAACGGCCCCATATAGAGCAAGTTGCCCAGTCCTGCAGCATCTGCACAATCCCTGCTATGCTTGGGCCCACTGTGTCACCACATGTCAATCCATCTCATTGAGCTTCATCTTTTTTTTGCTGACCCTCTACTTTACCAAGCATGATGTCTTTCTGGAGGAACTGGTCCCTCCTGATAATATTTCCAAAGCATGGGTGACAAAGTCACGTCATCCTTATTTTGGCTACGCTCTGCTAGGACAGTTTTGCTCCATCTTTTGGCAATCTATATATGTGCATTTAAAATTATCTGGACCAACTCTTCAGGCTTTCCTATTCATTATTATTATTATTATTATTATACATCTTTCTTATGAATATGAAGCAACTGAAAATACGATGGCTTCTGTCAGGTGTACCTTGGTCTTCCGCCTATTCTTTTGGAGATTTTCCCAGTGCAATATGTTGTTTGATTTCTTGATAACTGCTGCTCCCATTAGCACTGATTGTAGATTTGGTAAAAGAGCTCCTTCACAACTTTAGGTTGTTTATCAAAATGTGTAGATTTTTATCATGATGTAAGGATTATGGTTGAAATAGAATTCACACTAATGGCTTTGATATTCATCAGTAAGTGCTTCAGGTCTCAACTTTCAAAAGCAAAGTAGCATTATCTGCATATTATATATTGCTAATGGACCTTCCAATCTCTTTTTTTTTTGTAAGCTGCTCCATTCATTTGAGTACATGTTGTTGTTGTTGTTATGTGCCGTCGAGGCGTTTGCGACTCATAGCGACCCTATGCACAACAGCCCTAAACCCTGCTCTATCCTGCGCCAACCTCACTGCCTCTGACACATCCATCCTGATTACCCCAGTCACCGAGTCAATCCATCTCATAGAGGGTCTTCCCCTCCTGCACCGTCCCTCCACCCTCCCAAGCATGATGTCCCTCTCCAAGGACCCGTCCCTCCTGGCAACATGTCCAAAGTATGTCAGATGAAGCCCCAGAATCCTTGCCTCCAAGGAGCAGCTTGGTTTAATCCTCTCCAAGATGAATCTGTTTGTTTTCCTGGTAGTCCATGGTACATTCAGTACCCTTCTCCAGCACCACAGCTCAAAAGCATCCACTCTCCTTCTGTCCTCCCTAGTCATTGTCCAACTCTCTGATGCATAACAAGCGATTGCAAAGACCATGGCCTGTATCAGGCGCACCTTAGTCTCCAGAGAGACACTGTTGCTCCTGAGTACTTTAGAGAGGTCCCTAACAGCAGACTTTCCCATCGCGATACGCTTTTTGATTTCCTGACTGCTGGTGCCAAGAGTGTTGACTGTGGAGCCGAGCAAACTGAAGCTGTGAACAATCTCAATCTCTTCGTCATCCATCCTGACGCTGCCAGTTGGTCCAGTGGTGAGAATCTTTGTCTTCTTCACATTGAGCCTCAGTCCATACTGAAGGCTGCAGTCCTTGACCCTTCGCAGCAAGTGCATGAGGTCTTGCTCAGTTTCAGCAAGCAGGGTTGTGTCATCTGCATAACGCAGATTGTTAATAGATCTTCCACCAATCCTGATGCCACAATTCTCCTCATAGAGCCCAGCCTCCCGGATAATCTGTTCTGCATACATGTTGAAAAGGTATGGAGATAGGATGCATCCCTGGCGTACACCCTTCCCAATTTTGAACCATGCAGTGTTCCCTTGCTCTGTTCTGACGACTGCCTCCTGGTCCAAGTATAAGTTTCGCATTAGAATGATCAAGTGTTCTGGGATTCCCATTCTTCTCAGAGTCAGCCACAGTTTGTTATGATCCACACAGTCAAATGCCTTTGCATAATCAATGAAACACAGATAGACATTCTTCTGGTATTCTCTGCTTTCAGCCAAGATCCATCTAACATCAGCAACAATATCCCTAGTACCACGACCCCTTCTAAACCCAGCCTGGACTTCTGGCAGTTCTCTGCTGATGTGCTGTTCTAATCATTTTTGGATAATCTCTTCAGTAGAATCTTGCTTGCATGTGAAATCAATGATATTGTTCTGTAGTTTCCACACTCAGTTGGTTTGCCCTTCTTTGGGATGGGAACAAATATAGATCTCTTCCAGTCAGTTGGCCAAGTGGTTGTTCTCCAGATTTCTTGGCACAACTTGGTGAGCACATCCAGGGCAACATCTGTTATCTAGAATACTTCAAATGGTATACCATCTATTCCTGGGGCCTTATTTTTTGCTATTTCCTTCAAGGCAGCTTGAACTTCTTCCTTCATCACCATAGGCTCTTGCTCATATGTTTTTTTCTTTAAATTCCTCTGTATCTGCCAATTCCTTTCTATATAGTGACTCAGTATATTCCTGAGTACATAGCTTGTAAAAAAAATCATTGGTAAACATTACAAAAGTAAACATATTTTCAGAAGCTTGCCAGTTATACATAAAATTCACATTTTTTTTTTAAAATAATATGTCCAGAGACTCTTGATATTAAATGCCTGAGCCCTGTCAGCTATGACAGGGCCATGTGGGGACATGTCTCATGAAGTAAGGTTCCAAGGCGGAAGCAAGGGGCAACTGGGAGGGACAAAGGAGTCTCTAGCTTCTTTATTCAACCCCCTGATATTCCGTCTAAGCTTGAATCATTCTCCAAGGAGCTGGTATGTAACTAAGCGGGACACAGGAGATGCCTCGACATAATTCTAGCAAAGCACAGATAGAGTAACTGGGGTCTGGAGTGTGATGGAGCCTCCGGGATCTCCCTCATCTCATTGAGAGGAGGCAAGAATGCAAACTAAGGCAAATGCTCTGGCTATCAAACATCGTGAGGGTGAGCAAGACCTTTTCGACTGGTTGGTGCTGCATTCTGCTTCATGTAGTCTAATTTCTCAGATTATTTCCTTAACCTTCAGACTGAATGATTACAGTCAAAGGAAAAAACACTGATGCACACTTTTAAAATTTGAAATCAGATAGTATCCCCTTATTCTGTTCCAGTAACTACCTCTTAGTCTACCTCGAGATTTCACATAAACATAATTAAGTGTTCCAGAATCTCCATTTTCACAATGTTCCCATAATTTGCTATGAGCCATATAGTTAGATCCCTTTACACTGTCAGTGGAATACAGTTAAATACCTTTCTGATAGTTTCCGCTCTTTAGCCACCTTACATCAGCAATCAGCAATGATATCTCTTCATTCCATATCCTTCTCTCTGAATCTAATTTGATTTTTTGCCAACTCTGTCAATGTACTATTGCAGCTGTTTTTTAAATGATCTTCAGTAAAATTTAATTGGATGTGGTATTGAGGACATTGTTTAATATCTGCATTCAGTTGAACTACTTCTCTTTGGAATGGGCACAAAAGTGAATTCCTCCCAACCTACTGACCAGGAAGCTACCTTATTTCTTGGCATAGAATGAAGTATTTCCCTTACTGCATTCATTTCTTAAAGCACCTCAACTGATGTCCTGCATTTTTATATTTCACCTAGGCCCTTAGTGTAGCTTGCACTTCTTCCTACAACCATACTTTAAAAATAATCAAAGGAAGTTTGTTTCTTCCACACCTGAATAAAACTCCCAACCTAAATAAAAGTTATTCCTGTTTTATTTTGTCTAAAAACTTTACTCTAATGCACTTACCACCAATTATGTATTTGTTTCTGTTCAATATCTGCCTTACTCTAAGCTCTAAGCAGAGGAAATTTGGTTGACACATAGTAGGTGTTTTGTAAGTAGTTGCTGGATAAACAATGTAGCAAAATGGAAAAAAGTATTAAGGCAAGATGCCAAGAATTTGTGTTTATTTTCACTTTTTTACTACAGTGTGATGCTGAGAAAAGTGAATAACCACGCAACCTTAACTAATGACCTAGCAAACGTTTAGATGTCTCTAATCCAAAGGTTGCTCCTCTCTGCTGGTTAAAATGCACCAGCACCTCTGAGGGATAAGCATGTGCAATCTCATACACTGAAGTTTACAGCCTCAGAAAACCCACTGGTCAGTGAGCAAGAAGTTGGTTCAGCCTCAAAAGCAGTTTGAGGTTTTGAGAATTTATACATTGTATTTCTTGGGTGGCAAAAATGGTTAAGAACTCTACCAATGGAAAAAAACTCAAGATAATGGACTATGCCATCTCTCTGAACAAAGACTGTCGGCAGGGGAGAAAACAGGGCAATTCTGGAACTCTTGGCCTCAAATGGATATATCAAGAATTACATTGAATATCAACTGGAAGGAGAATCTGAATGCAAACACTGTAAACAAGAAGATGTGGAACAGAAGTGCTCCGCCGGTTGGCCTGGCACAGCATGGTCATGTTGAGACAAAGCTACCAGTGATCCCAGCTGAACAGCAAAAGAAGGCAACTTCACAAAATTCCTAATGGGCAAACAAGGTAACTGGAGATATACCCAAGTGAAGGAAAGCAAGCAGGACATGAACTGGATTCTAGGAGCAAAAGGACAAGAAGTGAAAGCTTCAGGGATCCTGGAGTCCACAGGGCAAGGAGGAAACCAGGATCCAGAGACAGGACTGTTCATTCGCAGAGGTACCTGACCATTAGGGTGAGTATCAGGCTGACAAGACCTCACCTCCTCCTGAGGCCAGGACTGCATCCCCTCACACTTTGTCAGGGCCATAATTTGATGGGTGGAAGGAGGGATAGGTAAAGGAAATGGGATAGAGCCAGTGTAAGAAACAGCTCTGTAAGAACTCTGTAAGTAAACCAGTATAAAATAAAAATTTATTTAAATTAGAAACAGAACCAAAGCACTCTCCTGGAGTCCCAGGCCAGGACACAAAATGGCAAATGGCAGCAGTGGCACTGGGGAGGGTGAGGCTCTGGGTAGCTGCTGACGCTAGGAGTCCTCAGAGGTCTGTCCACTCTGGGTAGCTGCTGACGCTAGGAGTCCTCGGGGG